GATCAAATTCTTAAAATTATTTTCAGACTCTTTCTTTCTTTTCTTATAACTACAGTCAGTTACCACACCTTATTGCTTCTTACAAATTTTAAAAGATGTAAATAATATATGGTTATGTGAACACGTCCAAAATAATGAATAACATGGAAATAGCCCCTTTTTATCTCTTCTCTCACCCTTAACAATCCAACTTCAATCTCTATATACAACATGACTCACAGATCACTATGTTTCATTCTGTGCCTTTTCCTATGCATTTTCATATATTATATATGATCTCTATTGCATTGCTTTAAATGTATATGCATTCAAAAGTGTAATTATCTTCTATTTTCAGCTAACAGTATAGCTTTGGTATTATCCATGTCAATATATTTTTAAATACCTCATTTTAAATTTGCTGTAACTTTAGGCTATTTCAAAATTTCCACTATTGATATGTATGCTATAATGATGTGCTTTTTGATTTTTCTCTTAAGTCTTTCTCTATTGAATTTATTTAGATTTTTCCTAACCAGTTTTTTAAAGATAGAAATAGTCTTCTCTTTAAAAGTATCAAAATATGCAATGCCAAGATAAGAACCAATAATATTAAATATCTTTTTCCAAACTGAGGGTTGTGTGAAAATTTATAATAAACATTAAAGTATTAAAGAGCTAGAAGTTCTGTAGAAGAAAAATTATTTAACTTGGTTTAACCTTACATATCTAAATTTTTTTGTTGGACTACAGGACTTTAAAAAATTCCATAGAGTATCTTATAACATCTTGTGGGATACTGTTTTTTCCATGGAGGCACTGAGAGGCAGCCAAATTTAGTGATTGTAAGCAGAGTCCCTGAAACCAAACGACTCTGAGTTACTTACTAACTTAATCTCTCTATGCCTCAGTTTTCTCATCTGTAAAATGGGGATAAAAACAGAATTTATTTCAAAGGGAGGTCATAAGGTTTAGCTGAGTTATGTAAGTGTTAGCTCTTAATAGTATGGAGTGTTCTGAGAATTGCTGCTCTTGAAGTATCAGTCTAAAATTGATGGTATTGTTAGCTGGACTTTCTAGTATTGTTTGGAGAATCAATACCATTGTGAAATTTAAAAAACAAACAAACAAACAAACAAACAAAAAACCCTAAGCCACTGCACTCCCACGTAATGTACTGCACAGAGTTGCCCATCTGAGAAGAAACTGCTCTATTGAAAATAAATGCCTGCAGTTCCATAGCATCTGCCCTTGAGTCTTTCAGCTTGGGGTTCATAGTAAAAGTCTTTTTTTTTTTTTTTTTTTTTTTTTTTTTTTTGTGGCACCTGCATCTCTATGGCAGTTCTCACCTTTTGACAGAATGTGGATTCTTGCTGTACTCCAGTTATAGCTGTCCTGCAGGATAACTTATTTATTTGAAAGGCACCATCAAGTGTATTTTGCATATGCCCTTTAGTTTATATTCTAAGTGTCATAAACATCCCTCTAAGTGTGCTGAAAATCCATGTAGCTGTTTTCACACAGTAACAGGCAAACAGGAAATTGACTTTATTTTTATTAGTTTTATCTTAAGAGCACTCCTAGAAACATTTTATTTTTAAAGCTGTTTTTTAGGTACCTGGTAATGACATATATTCAGATATATCCTTTCCTTTGCCTCAGATATAAACCTCTATTATTTTTAAGTGCGCATTACTCAAAACAGATGCTTTTTAAGCTTATGTCTCTGTGTGATGCTGTGAGAATTTTTGATTACCCCATCTTTTTTGATGATCAGCAGAGTTAATGACCTGTCCTAAGCTATCTATGCTGAAAGGCAGCAGAATGACATGGGAGTACAAACCAATTTGTCGTCTTTCTAGTTTAGCTCAAGTCAGCAAGGCAGAGAGGGAAAAATACACATCTGAAATGTTTAAAGAGAGATCTGTTTAAGTTAAGGAATTGAGGAGTAAAATAAAAATAAATTTCTCTCTCTTAATGTGAGTAGTGTTTCCTGGGCACACTTAATTAAAAGAATGAGGGTCAACTACTCATTTTTTTTTTCACTTGATTAAAGTGTGTAGTGGGCAAGGGGTTCTCCAGATGGGGCTATGAAGGGGCTGAAAAGAGGCATCAAAAAACGATGCATAGGTGAATTTATTGCAGCCCAGATGCTGGTCCTTAGGAAAAAGGCTCAGAAAAAAAAAAAAAAAAAAAAAAAAAAAGGCTCAGAAATTTGATGAGTCAGCACACAGCAAACAGATCAGACATGGGTTCAAACTAAACCAAACATGGAGGGCTCCATAAGCAGGACCAAAACATTCACTCCTGAAGAGACAGCTCTATGGAAGTCAACTTACAATTAATCAGAAGTGTCTGGGAGGAAGTGAAATTCAATTAAGGGGAATCAGTTGTACAATATGAGTAATTAATGCCATGAAAAAGTGCCAGACGGAGGCTCCATCACTCGATGTGGACCGTGTGCTACAGGGAATAAATCACTTTCATTTGGGGGCCTACGTGCTTCTTCCCTGGCTGGAGTCTGGATGGGCACCATCAACACCTAGCTTTTTGGATCTCCCATGCTCGCCGTCTTATCTGTGCCCATGCTTGCTGCCTCCTTCTCTTCATCTTGTATTTCACCAGAAGGACTCTATTATTATCACTAAGGTTCCATTTTACTAAATTATAATCACAGTCCAGTTGTGCCTTCTGGAGGAAGCATCCTGATTTTCTTGATAGAGTTTTGGCTATTTCTGATCTCCTTGGCCATCCATTTGCATCCATTTCTGTCACCTTCATGTGCTTCCCCTGGTATTACTTACTCTCCTTACAGGGTAGAGCCTTCTATTTTTAGAGAGCACACTTGTATTTACAGTCTAAGAGAGTGATAACCATAGCTTCAAGTCAAGCATTTTTGTAACTCCCAACCCTATGAATAATTTCTAAGTGCAGTTCTATAGAATATTCACATAGGACATCCTAAATCTGACATTTAAAATACAAAGTATGTCTTAAGTGAACTTGGCTGTAATGATAGCATATTCATTCACTGAGTTTCCAATTATTTTTATTTCATTTCAGCATAAAGCCAGATGAGATACAAAGGGGTGGAGAAACCAATTGTGTTCTTTATCTGAGGAGACCCCAGTTGACAGTGATACAAAACCCAAACCATTAACCTTTCTGAGGATCCTCTTTTGCTCTTAACCTTGTTGCTTCCTGTTTGTTTCAACCTTGGGGCCCTCTGATCCGTGCTGCCTCTAGGGCTTTGGAGATGGAGGAAAGTCCTGGAGTAAATCCAGAGAGTCTGCAGTGACCTGGGCAGTCTCTTCAGCAGGGGGTTGCTCTTGGTGTGTAAGAAGCAGTTCAGTTCTGAGTCATTTTAACAAAGTTCTGGTTTGATATACACTGAACAAACACATGGGGGCTTTGGAAAGTTAGGGAGGCTCTGGACAAGATCCTGTCCTTTAGATCTCCTGAGATTTTGAGGTCAGCCTGACCTTATGGTTTCTGGGAGGTCCCAAAGCAGCCTTTCAGTAGGTATCTAGTTAGACCTGGGAGCCCGGCTAGAGCCAAAGAAACCAAGTGTAACTTGCATGGAGATTGTAGTTCATAGACCTAGTGGGAAGCTGAGGGAGTCTCACAGGATGATGCCCAATCACAAAACCCAGTAGGTCACCCTAGGAGTCATCATTCTTAAGTGGCTGTATAGAGAGAATCCATGCACCAAACCAATGAAAGAATGTGCTCAAGAGTTAGGTTAGGGAACAGGGCCTGGCAAGCTTCTTATGTTCACAGGGGGTAGTTTTAAAAAAATCGACTTTGCAGTATATAATACATAGGTAGAATAATTCACAATCATGTACATCATAAGATATAAATACTCATCTTGAGAATAAAATATTACTTGAAGCCCCTGTGTTCTCTTCTCTGTTGGTGTCTCTCTCTGACTGCCAGAGGTAATCATGATCTTGAATTTCCCGTCAAGTTGCTGATATTTTTACTGCAAATGTATGTATTCCTAAATTAGATGTAACATTTTTTGCAAATTATATCCTTCATATAGACTAGGGTACTTCAAAAACTTGATGGAAAATGTAATTAAAAGATAATGCTTATCTTTCCATGAACTTTTTGAAGACCCTGCATATGATATCATTCTCCAAGCATTCTTCTGTAACTTATTTTTTTTTCATTCAACATTGTGAGATATGTTGAGATTGATTTATATAGCACCAGTTTATACTTATTTCAATAGCAGTGCTTTGAAAGCTATGTTCCTAGGTGTGGGGAGGGAGGAAAAGTAGGGAGCTATTTAAGGGCCCGGACCTGTAGTGGACAGCCCAGATTGGGTACTTAAGTTTCCCAAAGTGGTGACCAAATTCACCATTGGTCAGCTGCAAGAGTGGGGATGATGGGGTCTGGCTGGCAGAGGAAGCTAATTTTAATGCAGGAAAATTAATTTGCATAGGGAACCTGGAGCCAATTAAGTACAAATAACATTTCATGGTAAAAGACACAAAATAAGCATTTAATAAATGCATGTTTACTGACTTAAAAAAATTTTTTTTAGTTAGGTACATCAATGTGTCAAAAATTAGGCAGTTTTATAAGTGCTGTGAGAAAAATAGCCTAATTAATTTTTCTCTCCCTTGATTTTTCCAACTTTTCAGTGTTTTCTGCATTCTGTCCCAGCAGGTCTGATTCCTACTCTGTAGCTTTATGAAGGATTGAAATTGAGCATCTTAGTGAAACTCAGCTGCTGCCTGACTGAACACCACAGCAAAGCTTTTGGAAATCTTTTTCTGTTAAAACAGTAATGACTTTCTTGGAACGTAATCTCAGTGGAGTCTGTTTTCTTTGTAACCTGAAAGAATACCTAATGACCTTCAGCAGTTCTACAAAGACCTTATAAAAACCACTTTACTCCTAACAACTGAGTGACTCTGGTTGGTCAAGGGAAACCTTAAGAACTGTAGATATCAATTCACCTTCTGGAAGATTCAACCACTGCTACTCAGAGCTGCTGCTGAAGTAAAATGTCTAAGAACTCGGAGTTCATCAATCTGTCATTTTTATTAGATCATGAGAAGGAAATGATCCTGGGAGTCCTAAAGAGAGACGAATATTTGAAAAAAGTGGAGGACAAGAGAATAAGGTAGTATTCGTTTATCTTTTTGGCCCTCCTTGACTGCTTTCTGTTTGTTTGAAGCAATTTAGATCAGAAATGGGGCAAATGTGACTACACTGGAGATAGATGTTGTTCTGGAACTTTGTGGGTTCCCCGAAGTAGCCCAGATATTAGAAAACATCTTTGGCACTGCATCATTTAGCCAGATAGGAGGATAAAATTGAGCAAAAAAATATGGCATTGATGAGAACACTCATTTGCTAATAACGCTGTAAAGGTAATTAAGAGGAAGGACTGCACAAGTTTGAATACTGGCTCTGGCACGTATTAGTTGTGTGACTTAGAGAAAGCTACTCAACTTCTCCATACCTTGGTTTCCTCATCGGTAAAACAAGGGTAATAATAACACTCACCTCATAAGGTTGTTGCAAAGATTAAGGAAGATAATACATATACAGTGCCTGGCACTTGAGTGTTCAATAAATGTTAGCAATTATCTATTCATAATGCCTTTCTCAAGTCAGTCTTACTGGGGATTTGCCTTTGCCGTAGCTGCAAAAGAAGAAAAGCAACTGGAGAGTGAAAAGTTCCCATGATACCCTAGAAATCACTTGAATTTCTTGAAATAAGTTTCTGTGTGAAGAAAGTTAAGTCATATAGGCACAGTTGAATTTCATATCTGTTGTAGACAGGTTGATATTTAGCTAGTTCCCCAGGTATGAGCTCACCTGTGTTTTAGCCAGCATCCATTCTGATTAGCTGTATGATCTACTCTGAATGGTCACATCATCATCCTGAGTGATTGCAACATCCATTGTGATTGGGTGCTGCCTTTATTGTCCTTGTCATTAAATATATTAAGCAGCAGAAATAAACAGAGTTCCCTCCTCAGTCACTGCCAACTGTACACTGTGTAGATTTTGTGTCGTGTGTAGCTCCCCAAACTACAATAGGAAACTTATGTTTATTTTACTTGTGGAGAAAACTAATCATAAGATTATTTTCACAAGTTGCAAAAATTTTCAATGTGCCTGAAGCAACTAGGATCCTTAGAATTGGAAATACATTGAAATATTCTTGGTTGATGTTTATTTTACAGTTAAGAGCCCAGAAGCCTCATTTCTACTTTTTCAAGATATTCAACCAATCTGTAAGAAACAAAGGTTTTTTTTTTTTTTTTCCTTTTT